GCTTTTATTTCTCTTCTGCAATGACCTGTTCTTCCTTATGAGGGTCTTCTGGCTTTGTTTACTTTTCCCTCTGCTTTACATTCTGTCTATTTAAGCAGTATGTAGTCTTGGTCCCTAGATTTAAAAAGGGGTCGTATAAAAGAGGAAAATAATGGAGGAAGGGGGATGTCAATAGGGAGTTAGAAAGAGAGAAGTACGAGAGGGAAAACAGATATACATACCAACTATCAGGTGAGAAAGAGACACAGGGCCGGGAAGAGGTGAAGAGAGACACGTAAGAAAGATTCCCTAAAGAGTACTGATAGCTACACAGAGACAGGCCAATAAAATCGGGAAACAGTGTAAGTCAGAAGGTAAACAACAGACGTGATCTAAACCAGCAGTTACAATGATAAAATCATAAGTCAAAATAAGCGAAAGAGAGAAGTGCGAGAGGGAAAATAGATATACATACCAACTATCAGGTGAGAAAGAGACACAGGGCCGGGAAGAAGTGAAGAAAGACATGTAAGAAAGATTCCCTAAAGAGTATTGATAGCTACACAGAGACAGGTCAATAAAATCGAGAAACAGTGTAAGTCAGAAGGTAAACACCAAACGTGATCTAAACTAACAGTTTCAATGATAAAATCATAAGTCAAAATAAGCGATCAGACTAGAGTCACTTCTCTGATCTCCGATTCCGGCCTTTCCCTTTTGTTTGTCATTCCAGCGTAGGGGTGGGGCTTTGTCTCCTGTTTTGCACTGTTGCCTTGGGAACTGAGGTAAAGTTTGTTGATAGGTGGGCAGGGCAGTGGAAGTCTCTGCCTGGAGAATAGCAAGGTAGTTTAAGCAGATCTGTTTTTCTCCACTTGTCTGGGTCCCCCGGATTGGGGTCTCGCACTGAGTGCCTCAGCCAGGGTGGGCCCGGAGTTCCAGAGCTCCAAAGCTCCAAAGGGCAGGCAGTGGGTGGCGAGAGTGGCTCTGGGTCCCCCAAAGGGTATTTCAGCCAGGAATGGGACCGGTGTCTCTGAGGGGCGGGCGCCCTGAGCCTCCCTGTGTGACTTCTGGCTTGGTGCTGGGTGCCGGGCTGCTCCAGTCTGGGAGAGAGCTGGAGGGAGCTGGGACCCAAAACTCCCACACACGCAGTGGAATAGCAGCGGCAGGAGGCTGCAATATCTGGCCTTAGGTAATGAGGTAAAGTTTGTTGATAGGTGGGCGGGGCAATGGAAGTCTCTGCCTGGAGAATGGCAAGGCAATTTAAGCAGATCTGTTTTTCTCCGCTTGTCTGGATCCTCTGGCTTGGGGTCTCGCGCTGAGTGCCTCAGCCAGGGTGGGCCCAGAGTTCCAGAGCTCCAAAGTTCCAAAGGGCAGGCGGTGAGCAGCGAGAGTGGTGCTGGGCCCCCTACAGGGTACTTCAGCCAGGAATGGGACCGGTGTCTCTGAGGGGCAGGCGCCCAGAGCCTCCCTGTGTGACCGGCGGCTTGGTGCCGGGCTGGAGACAATGCAGCTGGGGAGGGATCTGGAGGGGGCTGGGACCAGAGACTTCCACACACGCAGTAGAACAGCAGCAGTGGGGAGGGGGCCGTAATATCTGGCCCTGCGTGGGACCAAAGTTCCCGGGTCTGGCACCAGCATGGTTGGTGGTGGGCTGGGGGATGGGGGAAGAGAAGTAGTAGCCTTTCTGGGAACTCACGTTCAGAGAATCTCACCAGTTCACCTATGCTGTCGCCATCTTGCCTCTTCTCCCGCTTTTTCCCTTTCGAATACAAAAGCTAGCCAGGCTCGGTGGCTCAGCCTGTAATCCTGCACCTGTGGGAGGCTGAGGTGAGTGGGTTGCCAGAGCCCGTGGATTCGAGAACTGCCTGGGCAACTTGGTGAGACCACATCTCTACAATAAATCAAAAAATTAGCTGGGTGTGGTAGCGCACGCCAGTAGTTCCAGCTACTCAGAAGGCTGTGGCGGGAGGATCGCCAGAGCCCAGCAGGTTGAGGCTGTGGTAGCTGGGAGCGGCCGCTGCACTCCATTCTGGGTGATAAAGTGAGACTCCAACTCAAAAAAAACCAACAAACAAAAAATACAAAGGCTGTCATCTACCCAAACAAAGTCAGTCAGCCAAAAAAGGAAGAGCAGATCTGCCAAGGCCAACCTTTTCTTTAGACTGTGTATGGGTAAAGCTTTTAGCTCTAGTAAGAAAATAAAAGAGATAATCAATGCAGGTAGGTGGAGGAGCAGCACAACATTCAGCTTTTTAAAAATTATTTTATTTTTTAAAAGTACGGGGTATAATTCAGGGTTAGGTATGTAAATGGTCATTATGCAGGTGCCCTTGTTGGCAAGGTGTGCCCCCCACTTCCCTGGCAGTTTTCCACTACTGCCAATCCCACCTTCCCCTCCCCTGGCAGTTTCTCACTACTGCCAATCCCTTTCTTATAGTATTATGATAAGTGTTCAAGGTTCGCTTATGAGTGAGAACATGTGGTACCCACCTCTTTGTTTCTGTGATGGATTACTCAGTATTATAGCCTCTAAGTCCATCCAAGTTGCTGCAAAGTTCATAATTGTGTCCTTCTTTATGGCTGTGTAATATTCATCATGTATATGTACCACATTTTAAAAATCCAGTCCTCTTTTGATAAACAGCATGGTGGGTTCCATGTTTTTGCTATTGTTAATAATGCTGCAATAAGCATGCATGTGCAGGTATCTTTTTCATAGAGTGATCTGAGTTCTTCCGGGGATATTCCCAGCAGGGGGATGGCAGGGCCACATGGAAGGTTGATTTTTAGATCCTTTAGGAATCGCCAAACATGGAAAACATTCCAGCTTTAAAGAATCTCACTTGGTTCTCTTTGAAGTTTTGTGAGTTCTCAGGACATGTGACACGTGTCACAAGTATAGCATATTTAAAAATCCACATAATTCAGGTGACCTGATCCCGCACCCTGATGTGGCATCTCAGATCAAGCTTCCCCCACGCTCCACCCATCCCAAACATCAGAAGATTGAGGAATGATTAAGAGCCTGAGCTGGGGGCCTCTCTGCACTCTTTTGAGTTGACTTGAGGTGAACGCCACCCGCAGACACTGTGTATCTGCTTCTTGGATGTACGTGCTGACAACGCACAAAATAAAATATTCCAGGTCCTCCAGGAGAACCACACAGTCCAGCTCCAGAGGAGTTTGCAGCCTTCAACAACTGTCCCCTGCAGGCCTTGCATGGGTGTGTTCCCTGCAGGGCTGAGGAGCAGAGGTGAGTGAAGCCAGAGGTTTTCCTTGTGGATGGTGCATGGGAGACTAAAAGTCCCAACCAGCGTTCTTAACCATACAATGAAACATCACCCCAGTGTGTACTTCCTATGATTGTTCTTGAAACGTCTGGGTCCTTTGCCAGCCTGTTATCTGGATTTAGTAAAAGGCTTGTAGAGTTGTTACTTTAACGTGAAGAGAGAGTTCTCTGCTGTACAATGTGTGTCATGAAAGTGAAAAGATATCTGGAATGTAATAACCCTCCAGCATTTATTATGTTGAAAATCAGTCACCTTACTTGAGTTAATTAACCTGATAAATGTTGGTATTTCATACCAATAGAATCTTACCCAACGTGAATAAAGTTTTTGGACTAGAATATTGCATTTCTTTCTTGAAATCAAGTCTAGGTGATTAACACCACCATATTTTAATTTGTGTCATTTTCATTCTTTCCTCATTTGGGGTGGTGATCAGTTTATAAGGAATGTAGGTTACAAAAAAGAAATGCATCAGGAAAGTTGTCTGTTGTGTCATACTGTTACTGACATACTGGAATTCCTTGAACAAGGAGGAAGGTTTTTTCCTAAAAGGACTAAAATTAATGTAAAATAAACTTCTTTGTATTGCAAATTCCTTTAATATTAACTGTAATATTGCCATAAAAGTGAAATCAAGAGTTTGTTATTCTTTTTGAGGAAGAAGATAATTTAGCTGTGGTTTTTGGATTTTTGTATTTCTTTTAAAAAAAGAAAATTATGACAGAGTCTTCTTATGTTACCCAAACTGGTTTCGAACATCTAGGCTCAAGCAATTCTCCTGTCTCTGCCTCTCAAGTAACTGGAACTACTCAGGCCACTGTACCCTGAACTTTTGTATTTTTAACATCATTTATATTTTTTCAAAAAGCATCAGTATAAGGTTACTAGTTTTTCCCCTAAAATAGTCACTAAAAACTAAACCTACCTGTACTCTCACCATCAGTTCATGAAACGAAGAACATTCAATATTTAAAAAAGCAGGGCTCGGTGGCTCAGCCTGTAATTCCGCGTCTTTGGGAGACTGAGGTGAGTGGATTGCCTGAGCCCATGGGTTCGAGACCCACCTGGGCAACTTGGCGAGCCCTCATCTCTACAATAAATAAAAAAATCAGCCGGGCGTGGTAGCGCGCGCCGGTAGTTCCAGCTACTTGGAAGGCTGAGGTGGAAGGATTGCTGGAGCCCAGCAGGTCGAGGCTGCGGTGGCCGGGAGCGGCCACTGCACTCCAGTCTGGGTGACAGAGTGAGACTCCAACTCAAAAAAAAAAAAGTTGCTACCTTGTCCTTATATTCTTTTCTCTTCTTGAACCAGTAAAGACTGTACCACCATTAGATCTGTACTTGTTCACAGGCCAAAGTTTATGAATTGCTAATTTAGCGTGTGGGGGCCATAAAAAATAATCCATAGAACAGGTATATTAATCACAAGGTGAATTATTTTATATTATTTAGTGTCATACATGGGCTGAACAATCTAGATAACTTAGGACCAAAGCACCCATATAACCTCTGTTCCCAGACCTCAGAAACTCACATGCTAGGGCATCCACCAAGTCTCCCAATCCCCAACAATGAAACACAATAAAATAAAATAACAAATGCTATCATTACTGTTGGTTTAGCATATCTTGTCTGGCTATCCACATTGTCCTAATCTACTGTACCCCAAGGAGGTGATTTATCAGGTGGTCTGCTATTGACCCCGAGACTCTGCAAGTTTCTGAAGTATCTTCCGAAGCATCAGTGAAAGAAACAACCAGAAACCATCCGCTCTCTCCTTGGTTCTGCTGTTGTTTTATTTCTCTGGAGAGAATAATGAGAATTTCTCCTCAAAAGGAGGCTTGATATATCAGGCACATTGAAAACAATGGTCCCTGTCTGACACAGCCCCTGCCCCCAGTGATTCCAAGCGATGTAGTATGATTGAAAGATAACTGAAGAGTTGAAAACCAGTTCTGTGTATTATGTATTGCTCTTGTGATGTATTTCTAGCTCTTCTGGAGGAGATACAGATATTCAGTCTTTGCTGTCGCTTTCTGAGGGCAGTGCAGATGAGAAGAAAGAGGATTTTCTTGACAAGCAACACGTCATCACTCTGCCATGGTCAAAGAGCTCTTAATGCTTACTTGTTCATTGCTTTTTCCATTTTGTAACCAGAGTAAAGCAAACAACTGAAAAAAGTGACCAAGTGATGACCTGTCCAGGTACTGGAGATTTTGATTATTAATGTCTATGATGTTTCAAGGTTTGCAACTAATAAAAGTTTGCAAAATTATAAGTTTATGGGCTTTTTCTTCCAAATTGTATACTGTATGTGAAGCATTAATCTATACTACAGATTATATTAGTAAAATTTGTTAATTTTAAGAAATAACAGTTATAACGGTATCTAAAAAACCCTCCACAGGAGAGAATGTGATTTTATTTGAAGTAATATTTAATTGTTCAAATTAATAACAGTGTGCATTTGACAGTCAAGTCATACTAGTCAGTATCAACAAATGAGCCTGTAATTACAGTATGTCTTTCTGTTAGGGTTTGAAGTTCTGGTAGCTTCAAAAGTTTATGCTGAAACAAAAAAAGAGGACCCAAAATAAAGTGGACATAATATTTGTGATACTCTATTCTAGGAAAACACAGTAAAGACCTCAACACATCTTATTTTTGGAAGGTCAATGTAGTGGTTAATTTTTTTTTTTTTTGAGTTGGAGTCTCACTCTGTCACCCAGACTGGAGTGCAGTGGCCGCTCCCGGCTACCGCAGCCTCGACCTGCTGAGCTCCGGCGATCCTTTCGCCTCAGCCTTCCAAGTAGCTGGAACTACAGGCGTGCACTATCACGCCCGGCTGATTTTATTTATTGTAGAAATGAAGTCTCGCCAAGTTGCCCAGGTGGGTCTCGAACCCACAAGGCTCAGGCAATCCACTCACCTCAGCCTTCCAAAGGCGTGGGAATACAGGCTGAACCACCAAGCCCGGCTGTAGTGGTTATAGTGGTTAATTTTATGTGGCAAATGGACAAGTCTACAGTACCCAGATATTGGGTCAAACATTATAATTGACATTTGAACAATGCAGGAGTTAGAAGTGTCTACCATTTTTACAGTAAAAAAAAACTGTGTATTACTGTTGACTCTCCCCAAATTTAAAACTTTACTAATAGTCTAGACTGACTGGAAGCCTTAATTGATAACATAAACAGTCAATTAACACAGATTTTGTATGGTATATGTATTACATAATATATTCTTACACTAGAATAAATGAGAGAAAAGAAAATGTTATTAAGAAAATTCCAGAGCACAGCCCGGGCGGCTTCCACCTTGACACCCTATGCTAGCACGCAGGCATGGGGAGTCGGGTCCAGAATGTCCCGGCGGCCTGAGCGATGAAGATGTCGACTCAGCGACTACTTCGGCAGCATCCCAGCCTTCAAATACTACTGGTTCACCGCCAGCATCACAGTGCCCCTGGTCGGCAAGCTCAGCCTCGTCAGCCCGGCCCACCTCTTCCTCTGGCCAGAAGCCTTCCTCTGCCATTTCCAGGTGCTTCCTGCGGTGAGGCTGTTGACTCCAGATCTCCTGTTACTTCCTCCACTGAATAATTGAACTCCTCGGTGGCTCAGCCTGTAATCCCGCGCCTTTGGGAGGCTGAAGTGAGTGGATCGCCTGAGCCCGCGGATTCGAGACCCACCTGGGCAGTGAGACCTCATCTCTACAATAAACCCCAAAATCAGCCAGGCGTGGTAGCGCATGCCTGTAATTCCAGTTACTTGGAAGGCTGAGGCGGAACGATCGCTGGAGCCCAGCAGGTCGAGGCTGCGGTGGCCGGGAGTGGCCACTGCACTCCAGTCTGGGCGACAGAGTGAGACTCCAACTCAAAAAAAAAAAAAAAAAAGATTGGCGACAAGCAGCTCCAGGAATATTTGTCTGAGCTTCGCCCAGTGACGATTGTGTTTGTTAAACTGATGTTTAAAGAGCAAAACAAAGCAGAAGTCATAGGCTCACCCATCCAGGACGCCTGTGTGCACATTAATTCTGTCCTGAAAGTCTTGCAAGGTCAAATTAATACAGTCTTCATGATTGACAAGGACGTAATAAGGAGATCAAATACTTCATGTGTACTATGAAGGAATTTTTGGTATATAACTACAGCCTACTGCTCATGTATGAGGCATTACTAGGATATGGAGAAAGCCAGATACTTGCGGAAATTGAGTGCCTGGCCCAAGGAGATAACCACAGCACGTGAGGTATGGCGTACCTCATCCACAAATGAGAGTTTCCCTTTCCTGGTCATTGGTCAAAAAGTCAACATAGCTGCCAGGATGATGATGTGCTACCCAGGAATTGTGACCTGTGACTCTGTCACTTACTATGATGGCAAACTACCAGCCTGCTTTTTAAAGAGCTTCCAAAGAAAGTCATGAAAGAGCCGGGCTCAGTGGCTCAGCCTGTAATCCCATGCCTTTGGGAGGCTGAGGTGAGTGAATTGCCTGAGCCCGCGGGTTCGAGACCCGCCTGGGCAGCGAGACCTCATCTCTACAATAAATCAAAAAATGAGCCAGGTGTGGTAGTGCGCGCCTGTAATTCCAGCTACTCGGAAGGCTGAGGCGGAAGGATCGCCAGAGCCCAGCAGGTGGAGGCTACGGTGGCCGGGAGCAGCCACTGCACTCCAGTCCGGGTGACTGAGTGAGACTCCAACTCAAAAAAAAAAAAAAGAAAGTCATGAAAGGTGTTGCAGATTCTGGACCAGTCTATCAGTGTTTGGGCCTTCATGAGAAAGTGTGAGTGCGGGTACTTATTTTTCTGTATTCTTCAGTAAAGTGGTTGGAGAATTATGATAGCGAAGCAATCTGTCACACATTTCGAGATCGAAGCCAGTTCACGACACTGAAATCTATTCTTTCTGCAGTCCATACCTCAAGATCCTTCATCTTTCCTCTATCTTACTGATACTGTAGAATGGCAGAAGATCCTATTCTTCCCTCAGGTCTGAGACTCTGAGGGTGATTCTTCAAAGACTGTACACACAGAACAAAGAATCCACCCTTTTGAGTATCTATTTGCACCTAGGTGGACCCAATCACCAATCGTTAAATATTTACTGATTATGCCAACTTTATGCACGGGCACTTAGAGTATAAGACATTATTTCTCTTCTAGCTCTTTAGTGAAATACATTCCCCCAAAGCCCAGCTTAGATGTGTGAGTATCACTTCGAAGCTTAAAATCCTTCAATGGCTTCCAGTCATTTTAATGAGAATGTCCAAACTCCTTGCAATGGATACAAGGTAAAACCACCTACGTTTCCAACTATGCCTCCTCAGGGGTGTTTACATAGGTTGTCCTCACCAGCACACAACCCATCCCTGTTTTACTGGGAAGGTCACAGCTTTCATAGACGTTTCTCTATGAATCCCCCCACACAACTGGACAGTGAAGCTCTTTCCTCTACAGCAATGCCTTTGTTAGAGCATTCATCACACTATATCCTGGTTAGTGACTTGATATACTTTTCACCATGAGCTCTTTGATGATACTAATTATTTGTTGTTCATTCTTCTATTCCCAGTGCTTGGTACATAGTAGGTCCTCAATAATGATGAATAAATGAATACATGAATAGAGTGGAAAACAGAAAGCTGTTCCACTTTGTATTAGTAAGCTAGAATCTCTCAGTATTCAAGGGTCAAATAACAGAACCAGGGTGTCTGGTTCTGTTCATTCAAGGTGTCTTTATTATTGACCTTGTATTCCTGGGGCTTAGCAATGTGCTTGGCATACATAGGCCTTCAATAAAATGCAGTAAATACATAAATAAACAAATAAATAGTGCAATAAAGCCATATTGGCCATATGAGGTAGAAACTATTATCTCCATTTTATAAATTTAAAAATGGAGACTCAGAGATATTAAATGACTTGTCATGGCTATACTTCTAGTAAGCAGTGGAACAAGATTCAAACAGGCGTGATAATATGGCATTACAGGCAACTATAATGAAAGACTCAAAAGAACCATACTTGCTATGAAATAAACATTTACTGTATGAATTCCTACCTCACGTTCACTGTATTTTATAAATTCCTACCTCAAACCCCGTAAGACTAGGCATATGTAAGGCGCCTAACTGTGACCGTAAAGTTACAAGATGTTTACAGTGTTTGTACTTAGAACTTTGTTAAGTTTTTGTTTGTCCCATAATAACCATGTTAAATGAAATAACCGGTTTCTTCTCCTTCTGCAACTGCTGCTGGCGGTGTGTGTGAATGTTAAGCGATAAGCCCCTCCTGGACATTGCTTAAATTACGGTAGGCTCTGTGGCGCCAGCCACTCTTCTGGTGGGCTCTGTGTTGTTTCAAACCTGCTCGTATGCCGAAGCTGACTGTAAACCGGAGCTTATCTAACATTCCAGGAGGCTTAACTACCTCCACGCTGCCCGTTTGGCCGTTAGTAGTCAATCACGGGCAACTGAGCCGCGCCCGCACAAATCAAAAACGAACCAACCAATCTCAAGCTCTCCTATCCCCTGACATCACTGCGGACCTAATTGAGAACTAATTATGCAAGGTCCGTGGACTTCGTTTTCTACATCATGCCTTCTTCTAATTGGATAATGTCTCAAGCCTAGGAAAAACTGGTCATGCCCAGTCCCTCCCTCGTAACTGTGTATATAAACTACTTGCTCTACTAGGTCGGGGCTCTCATTCTTGAGCCACTGTGTTGGTTTCAGTTTGTGAGCCCAGACTCGAGCCTGAATAAAGACCCTTGTGTGTTTGCATCGGAGCAGGCTCTTTGGTGGTCTCTTGGATTTAGGACTTTGGGGTCTAACAATAAACCCTCAGTGGTATGCAAAAATAAGCATTTATTTTTCTTCTGAACATGTAGGGTTCAGAGGATATTGGCTGGATTTGGTTGATCTTGTTTTGGCTGATTCACATGCCTGTGGTCCAACAGGTGGTTGGCTGATCCAGAATGGCTCCAGTTGAGATAACTGGGGCAGCTTGGCTCTCCATGTCTCATCTTTCATCAGGCATGTTGTCATGACAGTATCAGAGGTACAAGAGAGAGCAGGCCCAATGCAAAAGCATTTTTTCAAGCCTCTGCCTATCACTTGTATCTGCTAATATTCCATTGGCCACAGCACTCATGAGACTGAGCCCAGAGTGTGAGGACACTGCCAAGTTACATAGCAATGGGCATATACATTTACAAGTGAAGATGTGGGCCATTGATGCAGCCAATCTACCACACAAACCCAGGAGTAGCTGATCCCAAAG